CCCTCGGCATCGGCGGCCGCGGCGGCGGCGAGGGCGGTGGCTCTCCGCGGAGGCGGAGGGGCGGCGGGGGCGGTTGGCGCACCGGATGAGCTTCAGGGGGCCGGGAGCGACGGCGGCGGGGGCGGTGTCGGAGTGGATTCGGCGGCGGAGGCGGCGGATTGGCTGGAGGTGGCGGACCTGAACGAGCGGTTGGCGATGACGGAGAGGAGGTTTTTGGTCGACGAGGGTCTGCCCGGGAGGCAGTGGTTCCGGCACGTGTTGCAGGCCCCGGGGCTTTACTTGGGGTGAGTTGGTGGCACACACATGATTCTTTTCTTATTAATTATACACCTAATCCATCTCTATCTATCTACATGTGTATGGTTTTCGTGTTTCGACGCCGCCGGAAAACCCGTGGGCTCTGCCGTTGAGGGGGGGGGTGGTTTTTTCCGTAAGACAAGAGTGCGTTGAGGATGGCATGAGATACTCTATATGACCTGGTTCGGGGGTGAAAGGCCATTCATTCATTGCGCAAACACGTTTGGCGCGTAAATTTCGTTCCCGATTTGACCCGGTTCGATTACTAAAACGTCCCCCCCCCCCGCCTTTTTCCCTTTCTGTCTCTTGTCAGCTACGCTGCTGAGTCTTTCCCGGGCATCACCCAGGCCCTCAGCGATGGCGACCTAGAGCTCGCGCAAGAACAAGTGCATGTTGCCGCGGCTCGCATCGAGGACGCAGCAACATTTCTCACGGGAGACGAAGGGAGAAGATGATACATCGGTCGCGACAACGTAACAACGGCAGGTCTTGGGTCTTGGGGGAGGGGAGGAGAAGAACAGTAGAGGTCCCTGTTTAGTGCCGGTATGTGTCCATGAAAGTTCACCGGACCCACGGGACACGGGCACTGTTCAAAGTACATAATACGCTCGGTAACTCAGGGTGTGCCCGCCGAAAACACCGGCGCTATACCGGCCACCAACCGGCACTATTGAGCCGGCACTAAAACCTCTACTGCACTTGAACGGGAGGCGGTAATAGGGGGGCAGAGGAAGGAAGACTTTGTGGTGGTGATGCGGTAGGATGACGGCAGTTGCGTGGCTAGAAACCGTAGCCAATTCTTGAGCGCCGTCAGGGTAGCAACATTGCTGTGTGCCTCTTTTTTTGCGGGGTGTGGAAGTTGAATGGTGGCGAGCTGCACAGGGCGTTTGCTCTTCGCACTTAATGCCGCAATTGCCTCGTTGACCCTTCCTTTTCGTTGTCGGTGTTGTCGTTGTCATTCGTTTGTGTTGGCGTTACACGTGGTGAAACAATGCGCGATTCTGCAGCCGCCGCGTTGATTGGTCGTCAGTTTTTGCGTGTCGGGGGGCAGTTTTGATGGTGTCTTCGTGTGTGTCTGTTGTTTTGGCTGTTGTCTGTGCTTTGCTTGTGACCGCGAATGATGCTTGTCGGGAGCATCGCTCTCTGCGGGCTGGTTGTTCGACTGCTGTACATATGCATACAGTTTTCCCTGTAAGTATCCTCTTCTCGAGGAAGGTGACCGTTGGTTTGATGGCGTGCCCGACACGACTATCACGCCCTTAATATGGCGGGTCGAGTATCTGGTACGGGCCACGACGTGGGGTGGAAGGCGTCGAGAGAAGCCCGTTGAGGGTGCCTCCATGTGTTGGTATTCCCAGTCCTTGGTCCTTCTGGATGAATGCAAGGAGGATGCCAGCTGCTTTTTTTCCTGGGATCTCCTGCACTTCGCTGCACCCGCTGTGTGTGGTAGACAGCTCGTACGCGGAAGAAACAGAAGATGGTACTAAATACTTGTGTCGTGAAACTTGGGAGATGCCTATTCTTCAAAATAGTCGCCAGCTTTGGCTTGGCCCAACGCCTGAGCTAGCATGAAAATGAGGCATCTTAGGCATGCGCCGTATCACAGGACAACAACGCCATGTCGTTCTGTTCACAGGAAATAAATTCTGTTGTTAGATTTGTTTTGCTCAAGAGCATGATTTCGCGCCTACTATTTAACGCTGCAGCGTGGGGTGCGCTGGCCGTGAAAACGGCACTCACGACCTTCAGAAAAGCTACCTACCAACGTTTGCACATTGCACGCTACACGGCATCAACACTCAACCCAGTACGCCGTGAGATAACATTGTTGCACGTCGCCAACATGCTCCCAGACGAAGAACACGAACACACACACCTCTGTCCCGCTATCGTGTAAGCTGACGGTTTCATTTGGTCGGCTGATGAGCGTCGCGGTCGATGCTCTCGAAGTCAGGGAGAGCACACACAGACAACTTGCCCCCCGGACGGACGCCTAACGAAAGCACGGGTCGATTCGATGGGATATGCATACTATACACCACAATTCACGCACCGAACGTACTGAACACACCCGTGCTGTAGCAGCAATGCAAGGACGACCACACGAAAAAGAGACACACTAACACCTACACGACACACGTCGCAAGAGACAAGAGATGAACCGCTGGCGCTTCACCACCCAGAACAATGCGCCGCCACTTCTCTCCCAACGCAAAAACAGCATCATCATCAGATCGAGCGCAGGCATCAACTTGATTCGACGACACACCACAATTAGAGTCCGTGCGAGAACGCAAACAAGAGTCCTTCGTGGGGATCGTCCGCGTACGCCGTTTGACAAACACGAGTGTACACATACAGACAAATCAGATACTTTACAAGAGACTGGCATGTTGGTCAGCCGGTGAGCGCAGTCGATGCTGTATAAGCAGAGACACCCTGTAGGCCACGAGGTTCCGCTGAAGGAAGCGCAAGCTCCTCGGCCGCTTGAACAAAGCAAGACGGGACAGAGACGGCAAAGACGCATTCATCAGTACGACCGCGACCACATCACCATTGTTGAATAACCCCTCTCCTTTTTCTCGTGCCAATACTCCACAGACCACACTACCAATTAAACAAACAATTTTGTGCCCGCACATGCTACGCACACTAGCACTCGCGCTACAGAACCCTCCGCTCGCATTTAGCACACACCGTCCGTTCCTCCGGGGAAAGTAAAAAAATAGACGAAAGCTTGTGATAAACATTGAGCTGTAAACTCTGCGGCTCTTGTCTTATGTAACAAATCAACAATTCTATTGAACACTGCAGCACTCGAGAACACACGCAGAACCGCGCTGACCGAGACCGACGTTTTTTCGTCTACACGGTTAGCGTGGTCGATGCTAACAATAAAGACGCACACACACACACGATGACAAAAAGACACGCACACGACAGTTGCGTTCATCTACCGCCCGTCCAAGCCACGGCGCGAAACACTCAAAGCACAACAATCCGACCGGAGTCAATAACGCCGGCTTCCAGTCTAGTGTCGGGCTGTTATGCCCAAGGATAACTCTCAAGTACCGTCGTAGGACACAAAATCGAGACGAAGAAAGACGACCCACCCCACATTTGTCACTCTCAAATCTAACACAAGGCTTCCAGCTGTATCCCTTGTGCCCTCGAACACTGGGTGGCAACAACATCAACCACACACGTTCGGCAATTTCCACCAGAGTTACGCAATAGCTCGTGCGAAAGCACCACTACTCGCTAATTCATGTTGTACACACACTGAATTGCACAGCACACACAAGAAGACAGAAACGGCTGCTCGTGCCAAGCAAAACACATGAACGTACTCTACAATTTGTAATACTACAGTTTAGTCTACTCTAGGGCAGAGCTCGCTCGTAAACGAACGACACCACAACACATTGGGTCTTCTGCCGGAATGACGAGAACTCCCCGATGTTTCGAGTCCGTTGTTCTGCGCCGTAACTTGCTCTGGTCCGCCACTGCTGTCGACGCCTTTGTTGCGAGCGCATGAACGCCGCACCTTCCATCAATGGGATGCTTTGTTTTGATCGCAGCGCGCGCCTAGCTTGACCTTTTGCCGTCTCTTTTTCTCTTTGACAGAGGCTGCTCACACCGCGCATTATGGCGCTTCCGCTTTCTTTTTCGCGTTGCCCTTACATCCTGGCCCTTTTTTTCTTTGTTTCTTTTTTCGTAGGACTTTCACCGGCTGCGTAACGTGGTCCACTGGTTGCGGATGAGCTCAGCCTCCTGCCAACACACCCACCCTCCTCCAACACACCGACCGACCGACCTCGCATGGGGGGGGGGGGGGGGGGGGG